CCCTTGTTTTGTTTAGATAATAATAATAATAATAATAATAATAATAATAATAAGGAAAAATTGCAGTCAAAGTACCAAACCTTTCGTTTATTAGTAGACTTTACCCAAACCTTTGATTTTTGCCACCCTGAGTACCAAACCTTTAAAAAATATGCAGCTCAAGGCCAAAATGACGGTTTCCGTCTATTTGACCCCAAAATCCATCAGTTGACCTCAGAAATTAAAAATCTGATTATTTTTCCCAAATACAGCAAGGGCAATTTTGACTTCACATTTTCCCTATTAAATTAAAAATTAAAAAAGCAAAAAGAAAAACCATAACCCCCACCACCCCATCTCCTTCTTCCCCAACCCCCTCACAGTTGGAGCATAATTTCGATGACTTCCGACCACCTAGACCACCGAATATCGATACCATCGGAAAGCCCTTGACCTCCTCTTCAATTAACACCGATCATCTCCCCATAAAATCAGTGGATTCAATCGTAATTAATCAACAAATTCAGCTGATGAAACTGCCGGAATCACCACCTCCGATCATCTCCTTGATCGGAACCAATACAGGTCGATTGCCCACCCAAATCTAACTCCAACAACGGTCCTAATCAATTCCAAACAGTACAAAAAGATATGGAATTAACAACAACAAAATCGCTGGTCGCGATCGCGTAGCCTGCGCAACAGGGTCCGAAAATCTCAAATTTCAGTGCCATCTGGTAGACCCATGATCGCAGACCACCATAGCTAACCTCCTCTCCACCTGAAGCACCTTGCCCAGCCATGGATCAAGTCCAATTTGGTCCAAAATTGAGTGAATTCATGAGGTGCAATTAGGGCTGTGTGCGATAACTTCAGTTCTAGGGAATTTGATGTTTCTATGTTGCTCCAATTGTTCAATTCGACTATACAAACTTCAATTGGTGATGGAAAGGTCATGGGTAATCATCCAATTGGGGAAGAAGGAGATGGTGTGGGGGAGGGGTTATGGTTTTTCTTTTTGCTTTTTTAATTTTTAATTTAATAGGAAAAATGTGATATGTCCAAATTGCCCTTGTTGTGTTTGGGAAAAATAATCAGATTTTTAATTTTTGGGGTCAACTGACGGATTTTGGGGTCAAACAGACGGAAACCGTCATTTTGGACTTGAGCTGCATATTTTTTAAATGTTTGGTACTCACGGTGGCACAAATCAAAGGTTTGGGCAAAGTCTACTAATAAACGAAAGGTTTGGTATTTCGGCTGCAATTTTCCCTAATAATAATAAAAAAGATTTTTGGTGAATTTTGAAAAAAGTTGATGAAATGTGGATTAAAAAATTGTGGACTCATGAAATGTGTGATAAAAATCAATTGTTATCTTTAACTTCTATTTTAATCAATTTTGTAGTTAAATCAATCAAGGGCCAAAGAGTAATACTGGAACGACAGGTTCCAATGACAATGGAGACTTTTGATGCAATCCTAGCCACTTTACCACCTCAACCAATGTTGCTACCTGCCATGACCACCAACGATTGGCTCAGAATTGAGGGATCTAATCTCTTCCACTACCCACTCCCACCACAAACACCATACCATCATCAGCGTTGAGTGATAGTGGATGTGGTAGGTCGTGATTCAGAGAAGGTAGATCCAACTTGTGGTGGCATAATGAGGTGGTGGCGGTGCCAGCGACCGAAGTTGTCGGTGGCTATTGGCTTGGTGCACAACGATGATGGAATGATGGTTTAAGGTTTGGGGGTGTTAGGCTGACTGGCTTGCTGGGG